GGGTGCCGTTATAGTCTCTGCTTTATAGATGAGGAAACCAAGGGTGACAGATGTGAAGTGACTTGTCTGGGGTCATACATATAGTGAGTATAGCTAGTAAGTATAGCTAGTAAGAAAGATTTGAACTGAGATCCTCCTGATTCCAAGTCCAGTATATCTGCTGTACTATACTGCCTGCAAGAACAGGTCATGTCAGACAAATCTCATTTGTTTTACTTTGGACTGGTAGAATAGGGGAATGTCATAGCGTATACCTATATTTCAGCAAGCCATTTGACAAAATCTGTCATGTTATCTTTGTGGTCAGTATGTGGGCTACGTAGGTGTATTCAGGACTGGTTGAATGACTGGACCCAAAGAAGAATCATTAATGGAGTGACATCGGTTTGGAGGATAAAGGTTTTTAGCGGAGTGCCTCAGGGATCTGATCTTGGCCTTGTGTTGTTCACCATTTTTCTTCAGTGAATTGGATAAAAGCAGAGATGTATGTGAGGCAGATTGGTATAGGAAAAAACACTGGCTCTGAAATCAGAGGCCTTGGGTTCATATATATTAGCTGTGTGACCTTGGTCAAGTCAAGCTGCCAGAGTTAATTTTCTCAGCTGTGCAATGAGGAGTCTGATTAGATGACTGCTAGGGACTCTTCTAATTCTAGATCTAGGATTCTCTGCTCTTGTGATAATGATTATCACATTTTCAGATGACATGAAGCTGCGAAACAGCTGGCACATTGGTGGACAGCCTGGGTCCCAGACAGTCTCAGTAAGCTATATTGGCTGGCTAAATCTACTATGATGAGATTTAGTAAAGATAAATTTGAAGTCTTAATTTTGGGCTAAAGGAATCAGCAATACAAATATAGTATGAATGATATATGGCTTAAACAAGTAGCTCTTACAAAAAGGGTTTAGGGGGTGTCGATTGCAAGTCTGTGATGTGACAGACCAACCCCAAAAGCTACCATAGTCTGAGATAATGGTCAGACCATGTACAGAATGTGTTTGGTTCTGGGCACTACTAAGCTGGAGAATGCCCCAAGAAGGATGGTTCAGCACTGTGAGGTAATTAGAGACTATACTGTATGAGGATCTTTGAAGGAACTAGAGATACTGAGTACAGAGACTAGAAAGTGATAGCAGTTTCAATATCTAAGAGGCTGTCGTGAAAAAACCGAGTAGAAGTTACAGAGAAGTTTGATGTTTTAAAAAAAAAAAAGTTTCACAATAATTAGAGCAGTGCCAAAGTGCAATGGGCTGCCTCTGGATGGCATGGTTTTTCTGTCTCTAGAGGTCTTCAAACAGAGGCCTGATGACCATTTGTTGGGGTGTTACAGAGGGAATTTCTCTTCAGGTGAAGATTGGCGTAGGTGGCCCCTGGGTTCCCTTTATACTCTTTGATTCTGTGACTTGCCCCAAATTATAAAAATAATAACCAGTTGAACCATCACTTAGAATTCATCCTGATCACCAGTCTAAGGCTCTGTTATATCATTCTGAGTCAGAAGGCCTTGGAATGAGTCCCCAGTTCTGTCCCTTACTTGACATTTGACTTTGAGTAATTCATTCAAACACAGAAGTTCTTAACCTGGGGTGTGTGAATTTGTTTGCATATATATGCATATGTATGTGTGTGTATATGTGTGTGTGTATATATATATATATATATGTGTGTGTGTGTGTGTGTGTATATATGTAAAAAAAACTATATTTCAGCATTGTTGGTTTCTTTTGTAATCTTACGTATTTTATTTTATATATTTAAAGTCATTCTGAGAAAGGTTCCTTGATACAAAAAAAAGAACTCTTGCTTTTGCAGGAGGAATACAAGTACTTAAGCTGAAGCCTTGTGATACCCATTCCTGAGCCTCAGTTTCTTCAAAATCTGTAAAATGATTATGCTTACACTTGTTCTTCCTATGCCACAGGTTGTTTTGTTTTGTTTTGTTTTGTTTTTAGTAACTCAAATGAGATCATGGATATAAAAGGGCTTTGTAAGTTGCACAGATTTGGAAGATTAATATTTTTATCAATTTTGTCGTTCTAAGTAGTTTCTTACATTACATGAGCTGTCCCATCATCTTTAATCATGTTTACCTCTTTAATGCCAGTGATATTATTCATAGCCACTTTTTTTTTTTAAAAGAGAATTCTGTGGTTTCTTGTCACCAGATGTGGTTCTTCTGTGCACTTCACAAAGGTGGTCAGACTCTTGATTTCAGTCACCCATAATAGTTTGAACTATATTAAGCTAGGATTCTGAAATTCTTCTCTCTGACCCCTGCCCATTTATCTTTCTTCTGTCTCACTCCTCTTAAAAACCTATTCTTTGTCCTGACCTTTGACTTGCGGGCGCTCCACCTTTCTTTGCTTTCCTGGCCCATCCCCTACTCTGGCCTGGCCTCATTTTCCTCTCTCTGGAATATTGACCCTACACTTGATTGTATTGCACACTTTATTATCATGTCCTCTCAAATCCCATGGCTCATGCCGTGCCACACTCCAGCTCTTCGTTTTCTCTTCCGTCCGCCTTGTTGACTTCTGCCTCGGTACTTTTTAGTGCCACGAGGGGAAGTCACTCAACTTAGCTGAGTGGGCACAGTGCAGATTTGTCACAGGACGTCTACTGGACCTTCCCTGCTGGGCAGCATCCCTGTTGCTCTTCTGTGACTCGCTGTCCGTTGCCGTTTTCACAGCAGCTGTTCAGCATGTTGTCTTTTCTTTTTAGACAGCCATGCGATCTGTTCCTCGTACCCTCTCATCAGGGAACATCGCCTCGCACTCTGCTGAGACGTGAGACTCCATCGGCGGTGATTTCCCCGTCCCCCCCACCTCTCCCCTTCAGAATTGCTGCTCGTCATCGTCTCCCCACCCCTTTGCTGCATTCTTTGATGAAGAGATGGCCTTTCCATTTGCTCAGTTCATCCCCTCCAATTATGCCTTTGCTCCCGTCCCCTTCCGTTGCTTCTGGGATTTTGTTCAGATTAATCGTCCCATCTTCCTCTCAAATCTTCACTCTCTCCTTATCCACTAGCTGCTTCTCTGCTACTCTGAATGTGTCGGGACCACCTCCGTTCTCTAGACGGTTTTCATTTGGCCCTGCTGATCCCCTCAAGCTGTTGTTTCAGAGCTCCACTTTTCATAGTTAGACGGCTAGAAAAAGTCATTTGCACTAATTGCCTCCACTTCTTCACCTCCCATTCACATCTCAGCCTCTTAGGGAGCCTCCATTTATGGAAGGTTCCAGGCCCACCTGCCTTCATCCTCTTCTTGGCCCTAGATTCAAACCATGCCTCCTATTTCTGGCTCATCCTGGAACTTCCCTCAGAACCTAGGGCCTCCCTTGTCCAGAAGCAACCTACTATCCCTGTGACTTTCTTACCTTGGAATATCCCTTTGGAGGGGTGCCCCCTCTCCCATTGGCGAGTTTCTCTTGGAGCCTCTATTTTTTAATTTTTTCATTCCTTTTGTGTGTCTTCCAAAATTAGAATATAGGTTCCTCGAGTGCAGGTACTTTCTTTCTTTTTGTTTGTATTTGTGTTCCAGTGTTTATCATAGTGCATGGTACGTAGTAAGTAAGCACTTAATAAATTTGTCCCCTCTCCTTCCCTTCCTTCGTCCATTCGTTTGTTTCTTCCTTCATTTCTCCTTTCCTCTCTTTCTTTTCTTTTCCTCTCTCCCTGAAACTGCTCTTTTGAAGGTTATCAGCAGTTTCTTAGTTGCTGAAGCTGAGGGTTTTTTTCTCATTATTAACTTCTCAGTAGTTGTTCTTGTTGTTAACCAGCTTTCCTCCCTTGATTGTTCTAGTGTCCGCAGATTGTGTAACCCTGTTTTCTCCTGATTCCTCCTGTTGGTCTAACCAGTTCTCCATCTCCTCCATAGGATGTTCCCTAATTGTGGGTGTTACCCTAGATATCTGTTCCTGGACCTGTTTTCTTTATTTACCCATTATCTTCTTTATGCAGATGACTTTGAAATCTACGTACTCGGCCCTCATCCCTCTCCTAAACTCCAGATTGAAATCATCAACTCACTGTAGGACATTTTTATATCTCAAACTTGACATGTCTAAAAGTGGACTTCAGCTTTCAACTTAAACTTTTCCTGGCCCTCCCAGCTGCTGATGCCTTCCACTTTAAGTTAACTCTCTGGTTATCTTGTTTATAGCTAGGTCTCCTATTAGAGTATAAACTTCATGAGGGCTAGGGCTGTTTTTGCTTCCTTTTTTATCCCTAGCACTTATCACAGTGCTTGGCACATAGTAAGTACTTTATAAAGGCTTGTTGATTGATTAAACCCTTTCCTCCTTCTCCTCACTTAACTATTTCTGTGAGGACAACACTATAAACTGAATTTATTAAGGGCTTACTATATTCTAGGAACTTGTTATACTCTGGTAAATCAAATACAAAAGTGAGAGAGTCTCTGCCCTCAAGGAGCTTACATTCAAACAGAAGAAGCCACAGTTGCCTGAATCACCTTCCTAAAGCATAGGGTCTGTGCCCTGCTCAGGAGGCTTTAGTGGCCCCCTCTTGCCTCTAGAATCAAATCCAAACTCCTTTGTTTGGTGTTGGAAGCCCTTTACAATCTGGCATAAGTATATGTTTCCAGACTTAATACATAGAATTGTGATCCAGCCATCATAGTCTATGATCTAGCTTATTTGTTTTTCCCATAAGTGACATTTTGTGTCTCATTTTTGCATAGTCTTTCCTCAACATCTGAATACTTTCCCTTCTTTCTCCTACCTGTTGGAACCTCTGGTTTCTCTCATGCCACCTTCCTTCTCCTGCCTTCCAGTTGGTAGTGATATACCTTTACTATATGACTTGTCTTTTATCTTTGTATATGTTTTAACATCTCCCTCCAGCAAAAATGTAATCTCTTTGAGGGAAGTACAGTATTCCTTGAGGAATAGGCCTTGTTACACAATAGCTACTTTAGTGTTTGTTTTTCAGTTAAATCAGGTTTTATTTCACTGCACTATGATGTTTTGTCTTTCAGATTTCTTTATTCTGATGAAGTTCAGATTGGGCCAGAGACTGTTATGACCACACTTTATACAGCTAAAAAGTATGCTGTTCCTGCTCTTGAGGCACACTGTGTGGAATTTCTAAAGAAAAATCTCCGAGCTGATAATGCTTTCATGCTTCTGACACAGGTATGTTTGGATTCATACTTTATTTTAGCCATATGAAAGCTTCATTATGTGGCCATAAACTGCAAATAGTTGTAAGCATTCTTACTTGTCAGAATAGGAAGTTTGCATTTGTTTAGGGAGAGGGAAGAAGTGTAAGTAGTTTTCATGTGATGTCGTTGGAAAAACCATTACATGACTGAAATGATCTAAAATTTAAAATTGTACTCTTCTTTACAAGGAGCTCTTTAGGAGAGGTCCTGGTTACATAGCAGGAGGAATTAAATTCTCGTTCACTAGCTGGAAACATTGATCACATTTTTAATCTAAATGGCCCATTGTCTAATGCATTCTCAGTCATCAGAAGGGCCCAGTTCTAGGTTGCTAGTTCCATGGTATACAACCACAAAAATTTTTCCTATTTCAGCATACTTCTGAAAATGTACTTTTACTGGGGGCTTATAAAGAGAGAATTGCTTGGAGACAAAGTTCTACATCATGTAAACCCTTCACTGGAATATTAGGATCCAACTTAAATGTCATATAAGAGAGGTAATAAAATAGAACAAATAGACGTTTCAGTTTAAAACGTCTTTACATTCCAGGAACAGTAGCTGTTTCTTAGAGGATTGGATGAGCCTTTTAACTTTTGTTGACAGAAAAAAAAAGACCAGCTATATGGGACCAGAAGGTCTGCTGGAAATCTTTAGCATAAAACACACCATGTGGAGTGTAGGTGAGGTGGTACAATGGAAAATAAACGAGGTGCGTCTATTTATGATGTATTTGCTACATGTGTGAGAACTGTTGGAATGTGTATACTGTATAAAGCTATCAGTTAGCTTAGAGCTTGGTTTTGTTGTTGTTTCTGCTTAATCTAATATGGAAACATCAGGAATAAAAGTTGAATGAAAATATTTAGCTCACCTCACAGAGTCTCAGAGCGGATTCTCGTCCTCTTCCAGCTCTAGTTCTCCGCTTTGTTCTTCAGTTCGTGTCTTCCTTCTCCTTTCCCATTGCCCTCCCCTCACCTCTCCTTCCTCCAGTTCTCATTTCTGCACCATTGTCTCACCCCTCATTTTATAGACAAGGTTCAGAGACTTGCTCAAGGTCTCATTGAGTTTATAACAGAGTTGGGACTGGAATCCAAGTCTCAGTGCTTTTAGTTCATTGTTCTTCCTGTTTTATCTTACCACTTCCTTTTATGAAAGGACAGGGCCTCAGATGTTCATGATTATGTGTTCTTTATGTTCCTTTCAGAGTATTATATTTTAGGGAATTAAATCTGAAATATTGCATTAAAACCTGCTCATTTCTTTTAATACTCTGTAGCACTTGACTAACCAGAAATGTCATTAGCTGTCCAAAACTGATTTCCAAAGAGCAGACCTTCAGATCACTCTGCCTCTGACTTCTTTTTGATCTCAGGACCTTGGAACAAAGGCAATAGGTCATAGATATTTGAGCTAGAGTAGTATCATAATGAAAGAAATGTTATAAAATTTTTTCATTGGTGTCTTTTATTTTTTACATCACCAGAATTTCTCCCAGTATCACTCTCCCTCCCCCCTCTCAGATAGCCATACCATATAATAAATAATATTTTTAAAAAGCAAGAGAAGAAAAAAATCAACAAAACTGATCAGTATATCAAAAAAGACTGAAAATATATGCAATAAAGCACACCCATGGACCTCTTACCTCTCCAAAGCAGTGGGGTAGGAGTGTCTTCTCATATTTTTTCTTTGGAGCCGCACTTGTTCTTTGTAATTTTGCAACATTAATTTGTGATTATTTTGTGGTCTTTCCATTTACAGTGTTGTAGCCTTGTGTATATTGTTTTCTTGGCTTTGCTTAATTCACCCTGCGTCAAATCATGTAAAATATTTCCATGTTTCCCTATATTCATAATAATTGTAGTTTCTTATGACAGAAGTATCGTACTCGCAGCCTGAACTAGATTAAATTGGGAAATGTTTAACAAACATAGATGTTAATTTGTTGTTTTCTAAGTCAAAATACAACCAACGGGAATCCATTTCTATTTGAGTTTGACACTACTGTCTTACAGCATAGTAATATTCCATTGCCTCATGTATCACAGTTTGTTTAGCCATTCCCCAATAAATGGGTATCTCCCTTGTTTCCAGTCCTTTCCTAGCACGAAAAGTGCTGACATAAATATCTTGGTATTGGAAACTTTCCTCCTTGGGGTTTTTTTTTAAATGTTTACTGGCTGCAGGAAATCATACACATTAACGCACTGTCAATGGAGCAGTGAATTGGGCTGGCCTTTCTACAAAGCAATTTGAAATTGTGCCTAAAAGGCTCTAAACTGATCCTACTAGGGTTGTCCCTCAAAAAGAGCAATGAAAGAGGAAATGCCCCATACGTACTAAAGTATTTATAGCAGCTTTTTTTGTCGTGGCAAAGAACTGGAAACTAAAGGGGTGCCCATTCATTGATTGAGGGATGGCTGAACAAATTATTGTATATGAATTTAATGGAATACCATTGTATCCTAAGAAATGATGAAGGGGATGGTTTCATTGAAACCTGAGTGAGCAGAAACCAGAGAAAAACTTGTACGGGAAGAATAACACTGTGACAACGAATAACTTTGAAAAACTTGAGAACTCTAATCAGTACAGTGACCACCATGATTCCAGAGAACAGAAGATGCGTCATCCTTCCCACTTCCTCCCTGACAGATGATAGGCTTGGGATGTAGAATGAGACATGTTTTTGGATAGGGCCAGTGCAAAAATTTGTTTTGTTTACTGTGCATGTTTGTTTCAAGGGTTTTGTTTTTTTTCTTTTTTCTTTTTCCCCAGTGTAGATAGATAGGTGGGAGAGAGAGAAAATAGATTTTTGTTAATTGAAAAAAATAAAATTCAATTTTAAAAATTGCTGTTTTATCCCTAACCATATAGACCTCTAGAGATTAAAAGAACACACAAATATACAGGAGACCAATGAAGAGTATCAGCATGTTGCATTTTCCTACATTGCCAAAGCAGATGGATTGTGTTTTGGGGCAGCTTAAGCTTTCAGGTGGTATCTGCCATTATGTTTACTGTAATATACAGGAAACTCATACTAGCTCACTCTGTGGAGGACCCAGTTAGAGAGCAAAAGGTAAATGTTTACTTCCTGGTCATGTGACCAGCACTAATTTTCACGACCCCTTAAACCTTTCCAAAACAAAAATTATACATTACAGATAAAACAACTGCTGTCTCCATAGTCTAGGACACCTAGAATGCAAAGAAGGTTTAAAAACCAAAAAACCAAAAACCCATAATCTGATGCCTACCCTGAGCTTATGCAGCACCTTCTTCTCTATTGACCACCACACTGCTAACAGTAAGGCTGTACTAACTGATCTGATGACCTGACCCATAGGCTTCCAACAAAACCCAACCCTGCTCCCTAGTTTCTTCTCCCTCTTTCCAGTGCCATGGAGACCCAGGCTCCAGGCTGTGGAAATTCCCTGGGACCTCAGGCTGGTGCGACAGCAGTATTCTGTGCTACAAAGATTTCTGTAGGACAGTGCAACAGAGGGAAAAGGGCAGGACATTTCTAAGCTTGAAATAGAGCTCAACCTCATATCCCAACTATCCTTTCTTCCTAGAGCCTCAGAGACCCAAACTCCAAAAGAAAAAAATCACTCCTGCTTGTAGTGTCACCAATATGGCAGCACTCTGCTGGGCCAGAGAAAGCTGAGGAACAGGGGGAATGGGATCAGGACGCTGTGTGTGGTGGGAAGGAAGGAGTGGAATATTTTGGGCACACCACTAAGCCTGAGGAAAAGAGCTTAGCATCCAGCTGGGGCAGTTCTGTACTCCCAGAAATCACTTGGGGCAGAGACCTAAGTTGGTGAACAGTGATGGAAGGAGACTGAGGTACTTTGAGATCCAGCCTCCAGGGAAAACATCAACAGTGGGGAGGGAGTCAGAAAGTGAGCACTGGGGGAAAAAGACTGAAATTATCAAAGATCTCAGGAAGAAGAAATCAAAGACCCTTAAAGATAAGCAGATAAGTCAACAGGGAAAACAGTAGAAAAAAATAGGGCCTTCAGATCTAATGAATAAGTTCAGGCATCTATGATTATATACTGCGAAACAAAGGAAAACAATTCAAAACTTCATGAAGAAGATCCTTTGGAATTTGAGAACATGAAAGCACAACATGCTGTTTCAGAGTGGTTTAAAATGGAAGTGAAAATTATGAGAGCAAAATTTTGGCCTGAACAACAAAAAAAATTGATAGACTAGAAAAACTTGAATCAGTAATGGCATGTCTCACTAAAGGAACAAAAGAAAGAACAACGGATTAGGAAAGGAAAAATGCAGAAATGAAGGTCAGTCTAGAAGCAGAGAAGCAAAAAACAATAACATTAAAAGAAAACATGCTCTCTATCAAAGGCAGCCAGGCTGTGTGCAGACAATGTAAGCATGCTGGGTCTCCCAGAAGAACATCACATCAAATAACCTGAACATCACAATGCGAGAAATGATGAAAGAAAACTGTCCAAGAACATGGAACACCCATTGAAAGGATTTGTAGGTTGCCTCCACGAAAACCAAAACAAAGCAAAACTAAGGCTGCAAACTGCAAGGTGTACGTGGTGGTTAAATTGAATAATTCAATTCAGAAACAATAAATTCTGAAAGTGTTCCAGGAGAAAGACTTTCAAATATAAAGGTAAGGAAATTCAAATAACAGAAGACTATTTTGCACTCATCAGAAAATTCAAGAAAGAATTAAATAATATGTTCCAAAACACAATGGATCTTATGATACTGCTCAGGGTAACCCTACCCTGCAAATCAGAGCTTGACCATAAATGAAAAAAGATGTATATTCAACAATAAAGAGGCATTTGAAACATTCTTAGAAAGAAAATGAGACCCGAAGAGATTATTTGCTTCTCTGAACACCCCAGACATCAGAAATGGGGGAGCAATGAACAAAGGCAGCAGGAACAGCAACAGACTGTCAGCAGAGAGACTTCTTTCTAA